CCTAAAAAACTAGATAGTATTTGTTGCCCTCAACGCAGAGAAACTAAAGCAGATACTTTAAAGCAACTGAGGCCAATAGGAGAAGGGGACCAGGAACAAGAGAAAAGGTTAGTTCAAAAAGAACCTAGAAGGTAACACACATGCACAGGAAATCAGTGCGAGTCAACTCCCTATATAGCTTTCCTTATCTCAAGTAGCAAAAACACTTGGTCCTTCCTATTATTGCTTATACTCTCTCTTCAACAAAATTAGAGATAAGGGCAAAATAGTTTCTGCCGGGTAGCGAGGGTTAAGGAGGTGTAAGGGAGGGAGCGGGTGGGGGGGTTAGGGAGGGGGTGGAGGGAAGGGGGGAGAAATGACCCAAACATTGTTGGCACATATGAATAAAATAAAAAATAAAAAAAACCCAAAAAACCAAGTAAATTGAAAAAAAAAAGAAGAAGAGCACTTGCCTAGCATTGTTAAGGCCCTGGGGTTGATCCCAGTACCACAGGAAATCAAAAACCAAAAACTTTTTGTAATCAAAGGTAGCAAATTGGCATCCCAAGCGATGAATGTAACTCAGAAGACAGTTTTCACTGACCTGGACAGCCTTCATTAGTTTAACTGAATTAGGTGTCAGCAATTACAAGCTGGAAGACTTGATATAAAGTTCAGATTTCTACTTTCCCTTGAAAACCCACAACACATACATTAACACTGGATTCATCTGGTTTACAGCATACTACTGTGTGTAGCCAAATCCTTTCAATTCGCTTATGGTCCCTACACAGACCATAAGTCGGAATCTGAGTTGATGACCCTAATATACCATGAGTATATAAAGTTTGCTAACCAGGCAGAAGAAAATTGAAATTTATTTCCTAACATAACAAAGTGGTTCATCTAGGTACTATTTTGAATATCTGAACTGTATTATAAACACACATGCATTGCTTTGCTATAGAATGTTGTATGCTATATTGTTCTGGTGCAGAAAAAGGAGCTGTCAGAATCAGTCTCTTCCTTTCTCTATTTTCAATATCACTAAGATTTTCTGATAACTTTACTAAGTTATCCTTGACAGCATGGAACAATTAACTTCCATTACCATCAAGTAATAAAGAAAAATCTAGGATACAATAATCACGTAAGCAGAAGAGTTTTTTCACCTAAGAAGATAAAGGATATATTATCAAACAATGCCCTAAACAGATAATACGACTGTGATGAAAATGGCTTTTGTAGAGACATCCAACATATTTTTAAGAATGAATTGTTTCTTGCAGCATTGTTTCTCACCTCTTACTGTACCTACACTATTTCACTTATGTATGTATGTATTTACAAAAAAAAAAATCAAGCTATATCAGTTTTTGGGTTTCACTATTTTAGAGACAATATATCTATGTTCAGTAAAACTGTGACTGTCCTGGTTGGAAGCTCTGCTTGCTCTGAGATACACAATACGCTGGCCCTTCCTGATGACTGCTCTTCCTTCCCAACAGATGCATTGTCTCTGCTTTCTCCAGGGCTAATTTTACAAGGTAATAATGTGTAATCTCCTGTGAGTAAGATGCTCATGCAAACAGCTCCTTTCTGTTGGCAATGTCTTAATACTTAGTTTTGGTTACACTGAAGAGTAGTCTTTGCTTTCCTTAAAGTATTCTTTAAAGCACCTTATATGTTTCTATATTAGAAGATACACTATGAAGTATAATACAAAATTCACATGAACTTAAGATAAAACATACATTTGCTCACCCTGAATTATTTACTGATCAACAACACCTACCATCAAGGATCCTCTTCTGATTCACTGGTGAGAATGCACCTGCCCCAGGATAGTTTCCCCATTCTCGACTCCCATACCCCTTCCCTAGTACCTAGAAACCACTGCATTCTTTTCTGCAAAAGCCCACAGTCGAAGAGAACAGACATTGGGAGTTTCTGTCAAGTTTAAACATACCCAAGAGTGGGGGAACTGAGGCCACCACAGCTGCCAGAATGTGGCTAGTCAGGGGTCAGTAAGCTCCACCTAGACTTATATTCCACTCCTGCATCCCATAGTGATGCCCTAGATCAGATCAGGAATCTAATAAGTGCCTCCCTATGAACCTACTGCACAAACCAGGAAAAACTGAGTGCTGGAACTCCCGTACCCTGAAGTGGAAACCAGCTGGGGATGGTCAGAGCCTAAGCACTACCTCGGTTCCCTTCTGGTAGGCTTAGGTTCTGCTAGTTTGTGCACTGAAGAGGACCATAGTTACCCTCCAATGGTATGGCTGTCTGTCTGCCTTAAAAGGATAAAGACTTTGAAACTCAGAACACTGTCTGCTGGGGCTGGCAAGGACATTTCACATATTTTTTAGTGTTGTTTATTTACTCTAACTAGAAAGAATGGAAAGTGAGTCCAACTCATTTTTGGTAAAATAATGTGGGTTGATATTCTGGCTAGTCCTGTAAGTCTTAATTAAACAAAGGCTGAAGAAAAAAGCATAACAAATTAAAAATCCCCACTATATTTCTCAGAAATTAAAAACAAATGCTAGACCTAATATTGCTGAAGCTGCTGCTTTGGCTTCACAGTTGGGACAGAAGGATGCATGACATCATGTGTTAATACACGCAGATCCTGAATAGGAACTTAAGCATATTTTTCCAGAGACCTTGTTCTGTGAATTTCTTTTATTTGATTGAAGTGGTTTAAACAATAGATCTGGCATTAAGAACCAGCTCTTCAAATGTGGCATTTGAGGGACAAGCCAGGCAGGATTACTAGCACTATTTAGAAGTCTCAAGCAATTCAAGTACTTGCTTAATCTCCTGCAGCTAAGCTAGGTTAAAATAAGAACTGTGAAGACACAGGTCAACCAGCATCAATTCTTAATGTATGGGGCTACTGATATTCCCAAACTGCCTTCCAGAGAAATGAGAAAGCATTTATTTTTGATCTAATGGTGGTAATTTTTTTTTCTTTTTTGTTTGAACTTAGAGTCTCATGCTTTCTAGGTGGGCACTCTTGCTGCTTGAGCTACTCCACCAGCCAGGTAAATCTCTTTCTTAATGGGCAGAGCTGGGGTATTCTGGGCTTCAAATCAGATACTATTGGCAAATAAATAATAGCCAACTCCTTTATTATTTTTGTAACAATAATTTTAAACTATTCAATTATAATTTACACAATAAAATCACAAGAATGACTGCCACACCTGTAATCCTAGATACTCAGGAGGCAGAGATCACGAGGATCGCAGTTCCAAGCCAGCCTGGAACTGGCTAGGGTCCTCAAGACCCTATTTGGAAAAAACCCATCACAGAAAAGGGTTGGTAGAGTGCCTTGGGGTGTAGGCCCTGAGTTTAAGCCCCAGGATTGCAAAAAAGAAAGAAAGAAAGCATGACTGCCAAAAAAGGAACAAAAATAACAGCTAACTTTTTTTATTAGTGGTTATTATGTACCAAGCACTATCACTATGCATTTAGCAATCTATGTACCAAGCATTATCTCATTTATCAGAATAACCTCTTTAAGTAGATATTTTGTTTGCTTTTGTTTGACTTTTTTGAGACAGGGTCTTGCTATGCAGCCCAGGTTGGCCATCCTCCTGCCTCTGCTTCCCAAGTACAGGTATTATAGGTGTGCAACACCTTTCCTGGATAACTAAATATTTTCTTTATTCCATTTTATACATGGTGAAAAGTAATGGAGCCTAAATGAATCCCTTCCCAAAACGCAACTTTATATTAATAATTTCTCAATTTAAGTTACAATCTTTTTAGCACAATCTCAGCACGTATTTAAAAACTGAATGATCATTGAAAAGTACATAAGCAGTAGAAAAGATTTCTTCTGACAAAGGAAAATAAATAGCATGTTCAAAATTATTTTAATCTTAAAATAAGCTTTAGATAATGGCGAAAGTTGTGGCATAAGCAGTAAAGTGCCTGCCTAACAAGCATGAAGCCCTGAATTCAAATCCCAATACTAAAAATTAAAGCTTTACATAATGACTTCAAAAGACTGAATAGATTCCATGTTATTTACAATAACAGCAAAAAATGTGCTAGCCCTAAGATTAAAGAAGTATACTATTAGCAAAAGTGCTAAAGTATGACAAGGAGCACAGGCAAATAGAACCATGCAGTTTTCCCTGTCCTACAGATTTTCAATTACTGACAGTCAACTTCAGGATAATGTATTATAAAAACCTAGTCAAAGTTAATTTAACCAAATGAAGTCTGCCTGTTTGATGTTAAAACTATATACTGAAGCCAGGCACCAGTGGCTCATGCCTGTAATCCTAGATACTATGGAGGCAGAGATCAGGAGGACTGCAATTCAAAGCCAGCCCTGGCAAATAGTTGGTGAGATCCTATCTTGAAAAACCCCATCACAAAAAAAGACTGGTGGAGTGCCTCAAGGTGTAGGCCCTGAGTTCAAAACAAAAAGAAACCTATGCACTGCAGGTAAATATCAGCCAATTTGTCCTCAAATACTTAAGTGAAGTCTTGAAGTTTATTATAGCCCTATAAAACACTCAAGTATGTGCTAAGGGCCTAAACTGAGCAGTTTTGAAAGTATTATTCTTATCATTCACGTCATGATTTGCTAACCTCGAAGGTAAGTTTTAAAATCCCACTTTTTTCTTATGAGTGCTTAAAGTACTTATTAGATGAAAATTAATCATTTTGGTGAAGCATTACAAGTTCATAAACAAGAACCAAATCTGGCTCCTGAACTATCTACAGAAATCTAAGCAAGCTGGGAATGAATCAGCTTGGAATAACAACAGATTGCATGTTCCAGCTAAGGAATTCAAAAGCCCACCAGAAAACAAAACATGGGCTATCCAATAATCACCTGCAGGCTGGCTAATGGGCCACAAGTTTGGAACTCCCAAACCAAAGCTTCAAGCCAGAATCAGAAGCTTTTCCCCAAATATAGTGATCAAAGTCTACATAGCAGAGACTTTATAGACTTTAACTTATGCAAAGTAGTTCACAGTCAGATGGCATTTTACCTGCTTAAGAAATCGGTCAGATGCGTTGCTGTGCTTGGCTAACATACTTGGCAGAGCAGGATTAGCATATTCAAACTGAGGATTGTAGGTATACTCAGACTTGAAGAATCTCAATTTTTCTTTCTCTAAGTTGGTCGGCTTTATAGCAGTCAATATGCAAAACTTCTTTCCAGAAAGGTCATCTGCTTTTTCAAAGCTTCTAGACAGCTGAGGCTGTTGCTGCGGCTTTGGAAGAGAGACGAAATGGCGTCGCTTGACTTTGCTTTTGGGTTTAGGTGGCAGTACTATGCCATTTCCTGTAACAGAGATATCATGTGTAAACCTCACAGGACTTGACACTGAACTAGTGACAAAAACAGCAGGCTGCCTCTCTAGGCAGTACCAAGTGTCATCACTTGTCATAGGCACAAGGGATTTCATCCTGTGAGGATCTTTACTATGAGAGGAGCTAGGAGATTTGCTGGGTTTTCTACATCTTTTGGAGTAGGCAGAGGAAGACTGTTTTTGTGAATGATGCTTTCTCTCCTCCTTGCTCTGCAGTAGGACATTGTAACTACTGGTTCCAGTTGTGAAAATGTCTTTTAGTACTCCAGAGGACAAATGTGAAAAGCTTCTTTTGCTGTCAATGATCAATGACTCTTCTGCATTTAGAACAGACTTCTTAGCAAATTCTTGTTCAGGCCAGTGAAGCTTTTCTGTGTTAATAAACAAAATCAAAATAAAAGAAATAACAAAGACACCAGATGAAGCAAACTGCTTACTATATAGAAAGTATTCTGAAGGTTCTGTAAACTTTACAACTTTGCAACAGTCTTTAGAAAAGATACTTCAAATATTAAAAGGATATGTTACAAATTTGGTCATGCAAGACACTGTCAATTCTCTGGAGTATACCTATGTTAAATTATCTATAAAAATCCTTGGCTTCTGCTGGTATGGTGGTACATGCCTGTAATCCCAACACTAGGGAAAAAGAAGGATGGTGAACTCAAAGACTAGCCTGGGCTACATAGTGAGACCCTGTCTTTAAAAAAAAAAAGAAGAAAGAAGAAGAAGAAGAAAGAAGAAGAAAGAGAAAAGAAGAAGTAAAAGAAGAAGAAGAAGAAAGATCCTCAGTTTCAAACCATTTAGACGGTCAAAGTCTAATACAGATGTGAGATAATACACGTAAGTACTCTGAAGACTCCATTCAGCTAAAGGTAAATTTCATAGGAAGGGTATGTTTTAATAGCATTATAATCAATAATATTAATATTAGTTATAGCCAAGGTACTTTCAAAGTTAATATAATCTTGAAATTTAGAACTATATTTAAAAGTAGCCATCAGTAAAAGCACAGTAACACATTACCTCAAAAACCATTTTTAATTTTCAACAGATGAAAGGTTAGGAGTGTGGCTCAAGTGGTAGAGCACCTGCCTAGCAAGTTGTGAGGCCCTGAGTTCAAACCAGTACCACTACCAAAAAGAAAAAAATAGATTCAACAGATGATAAGTATATGTTCAAGTATGTTTACTAATGCCACTTACTATTGATAATTGTTTGATTTTCTTAATAATTTTAGGCTACAGGTTAAGGTTAAAGAAAGATGTTTCCTTCACAAGTCTGAAAAACAAATTATGATTACTATTATAAATGTGTCAATATGTTAAATGGCAAGGTAACAAGAGAGCAGCTTTGTCTTTAGATCTCACAAATACTTTAATCAGGTTAAGAATCATGTGACATACTACTGCTCAAACACTGCTTTAACACTGAGTGCTGTTTGCATTCCTTCATTCAACAAAGGTATGAAATACTTCTATGTGGCACATGGCTCTGAGCAACAGCTGAATAAATACATTGCTCCTGCCTAAAATCAGCTTCGGACCGAAGACAAGGCATTCCTATGAAGCTTTGAGTACCATCTGGCATATGACTAACGGTGAAAAACAAAAGATAGCAGCAATAATCTAGAGTTCAGAGAAGGAATCAAATGAGGAGATTTCAGGTAGGGCTTCAAGGGCTTTCAGATCATTCTAAACTATCTTAATTCCAGTTCCTCTGGATAATACTCCAGGTCATATCCTGTCCAAAAAATGTTCACTGAATACATAAATGAATAAATAACCCTAAAATGCCATCCTCCAACCATTCTGATATATAGGTATTTTCAGTCTTAGAAGAATTCTGTATTTCTATGAGGCGAGCACTGCAGAAGTAGAAATCTAGCAGGAAAGATCCTAATCCAGTGGTTCTCAACTGAGAGTGATTTTACCCTCCAGGGGACATTCGGCAATATCTAGAGACACACTGCAGAGAGGCTCCTGACTTGTTGTGGGTAGATGTTAGGGATGACACTAAATATCCTTCACAGGACAGTCTCCAACACACAAAAATATTACTCTAAAATGTCATGGTGACAAGGTAGAGAAGCCCTGTTCAAAATGGTAGTTTTTAAAGCCCAGAAGTCATAGGGTTTAGGGTGAAGAAACAGTACCAGGTAAAAAGTAGGTAATGGCTGGGCACCAGTGGCTCACGTCTGGAATCCTAGCTACTCAGGAGGCAGAGATTAGGAGAATCCTGGCTCAAAATCAGATCATGAGACCTTATCTCAGAAAAAAAACACCACAAAAAAGGGCTGATGGAATGGCTCGAGGTGTAGGCCCTGAGTTCAAACCCCAGTATGGCCAAAAAAAAAAAAAAAAAAATAGGTAATGAAGAATTCAACTATGTGTTATTTTATTAATATTTTCTTGACTAGCGTGTGAAATTTGAATTCTGGTGTCTAAAGAGTATAAACAGGCAGGGGCTAAATGTCTACTACATGTACAAATTAGAGGTACATTGCACGTGGTTACATTGAAGGTGGATTGAACAAAGAAATCAATGAAAAATGCTAGTGAAGTGGCTCAAGTGGCTAGTAAGTGTGAGGCCCTGAGTTCAAACCCCAGTACTGCCAAAAAGGAAAAAAAAAAAAAAAGCACAATGAACTTTAAGCTGGGCACCTGTGGTTAACACATGTAATCCTAGCTACAGGAATATAAACCATCAGGGGCTAAATGTCTACTACGTGTACAAATTAGAGGTACATTGTACATGATCATATTGAAGGTAGATTGAACAAGGATATCATTGAAAAATGCTGAAGATCCAATCAGCCAAAATAACAGGTTCATCACAGCCTGGTAGGTCTCACTTTCTCAATACTGAAGTATTGCCAAGTGATAGTCAAAAACTGGGTAGGAAAGGAAACAAGCTACAAAACACCAGGACACAGGCTGTAACCCAAATGCCCAGGAACAATGTCAGTTTCCCTAAGAAGACACAAGTTTAGGAGGCAAGAGGTGAGGATGAAAGAAGACCAGATGAGTGGACAGGAAATAGGAAGCAGTAAGAGAATGGAGGTAAGAAAAGGATTGCAGAGGCCTAGAGAAGTAGGGTAAGGACTGGGAGCAGACAGAAAGGGAAAAGGAGGTAAACAGGCTCTTTTCTCTTTTGGTCTTCATAATAAAAAGGGGGAAAGTTACACCGCACTAAAATCAATGAAAACACTACTTTGGAGAATTTCTATTTTGATGGTTCATTACCTGGGTGTTGTGATTTTTAAAAATTGAATATTCAATGTAAAAATGGTTTGATTCTGAAGAATTATAGTAGCTTTATGACTGAAGAACTGATCTCATTTTGACCTCCAACAACCTAAAAATTACAGGATACTTTACTTATTTAGGCAGCACGAGGTTTGAACTCAGAGCCTTATGACTGCTAAGTTGGCACTTTATTCTGAGTCATGCCCCTCAGCCCTTATGATACTTTTTAAAAAGTCCTAAACCATCTACCAAAACCTTTAAAAAGGAGAAGAACAAGGCAGCGGGGTGTTCCCAGGCATTTCAATTCACTTGCCAATGATCCACTGGAGGTTGAGCTCCATCTGCTGCCGAGTAAAGTTCCCAGTGCCAATAGTGAATTTATTTAACAAAAGCCAATCTCGCCAAATGCTGGATATCCCATGAAGTCCCTAACAGTGGGGCACATGGTCCTTCATGCAACTCATCCAAGTTGGATGTAATATTTCTCAGCAACACACTAATCACATTTCAGCTATATTAAGTATTATAGAACCTAAAATACTGTTCTTTGTAATTTAAAATACTATTGTTTGTTTTGTGAAAAAAATGACTTTTCAACAGGTATAAGACCATAATAAAAGGCTCATAAGATGTCTAATTGTTTACATAGTTTATTTTAAAAATACCTTAGTCCTCTTTCCTGAAAAATTAAAAACTTTTTAAAGCATAAGCAGATTTCTTTGGAGGAAGTGTAACTCATATTCCCCCCAAAAGTAGTAAGGTAATTAAAAATCATTTCTCACATTAAAGGTAGATGCTATATAATTTAACACTTCAGCCATCAGCAATCTGCTTCATTAAAATTTTGAAGTGAATAATTTGTTGATCAAAGAAAATCATTCACCACAACCTGGTTGCTCATACTGAGGACAAAGGGATAAATAATATTACTATATAGAATTCTCCCAGTCCCACCAAAAACAAAAAAACCCCACCTCATTCTCAAAATATTTACCTACCTGAGGACATAGCAAGGTGAATATACTGAAATTTCCAACACAATGAAAGCTTAATGTGTATCTAGAGCAGGAGAAAGGGACACTAGGACTCCTGGCTTCCATTCCTAGGCCTTTCAATGACCTCTCTGTAATACCAGCTAATCACGGTACCATCAGTACCTCCTGTTCCTCACCTAAAAGAATGGGGGAGAAGGGGACACTGCTCACTAAACTTAGTGTTTCACAACTGGGGAGAGGTGAGGTTTCACAGTAGCTATTAGGTCCTTGGCTGAGAGGCCCTAATCACCAGAAACAAACCTGGTGGAAAAACACTAGTCAACAAATTTTGGCCTATAAAATGGCAATTTCTTTGTGCTCTGAGGATTCAACCCAGGGCCTTGCAGGTGATAAGCAGGTACTCAACCACTTAGCTAAAACCCCAGCCTAAAATGGAAATTTCATATAATTCACCTATACTTATGAAATCTGACAACCTGGGATAATCCTATACCACAAAACAATAGGTTGTTTGATTGTAAATAGAAAAAAAGGGTGAAATAAAACAAAATTCCTGAATAAGATAAACACTTTCATTTTACTAAGTATTTCTTTAGTTAAGTTTATTATTAATACTCAAATGATACAATACCTATCAACAGTAGAAAGGATGTACATTAATACAATAGAATACAACACTGCAGTGAAAAACATCTGAGGTTGTAAGCAATGACATACATGAATCTCAGACAATGTTGAATAAAGGAAGATAGATCCAAGGAGTATATACTGTATAATTCTGTTTGCATGTAGCTCAGAAGTAGCAAACTAATTTATGGTATTAGATGTCAGAATAGTGATTACCTTAGAGGGAAGGGTCAAAAACCAGGAGGAGGTGCCAAGGAGTCTAATGGGTGCTGGAAATATTCTGTATCTTGTTCTGTGCCATGGGTACATATCTATAAATTCATTAGGCTGCACATTTAAGATTCAAGTATTATACAATCTACAAGCTACAGCTTAGCTGGGTGATGGTGGCTCAAGCCTGTAATTCTAGCTACTTGGGATGCTGGGACTGAGCGGACCATGGCTCGAAGCCAGCCCAGGCAAATAATACTGAGACCACCCCCCTCACCTCCAAAACAACCA